AAGAATTTTTCACAAGTATGCAGATCCAGCTTCTTTCGGTAATTTCGAAAAAAACTGTCCGTTCCGCTCTATAAGAGGTAACCGTGGACGAAATTTCTAAGACTTGCGAATCCAATGACTTGCGATAGCTACAAAACGATGGTGCATAGGTACCATGGTTTTTCCACCTCTGATGTATCAATATTAGTGATACGTACATTTGCTCTAGTGTTTGACTTAGAACACCGATAAAACCAAGGAGGAAGAAACCATGGCAATAGATGACGTCATGCGCCGCGGCTTTAGAGGGGCAATATTTCTGTCGATATTTTGACGCGGTAACTTGGTCTATACTGTCGTGCTAAGGAAGAACGTCGTATGAGCCTTCAGATGTTGCCAAATGTCCTTTGATAAAACACGAATTTCCTGGTTAACTTATCAATATTTTCTTTCCAATTTTTCAGAAAATCTTGCTCGCAATTTCACCTGAAGTTCCTGAAACTGCCAAGGGAAAATATCCATAACTTTCCTAAAAAATAAACATTTCATCGAAGAAAATTTGGCAACTCGCGAATGTTCATACGGCGTTCTTCCTTAGCACGGCAGTCTGAATGGATCTCATTATTTATCGCTACTATATAATTTGAAATCATCGTAGCACGATTCTGTGACGCAACTGACACAGTGAAACTTCCTCACGAAAAATGAATGAGATTCTCTGGAAAAATTCCATCGAAGGAAAAGTAAGAAAATCTGAAGAGTCAAAGAGAGAAGAACGGGAGCGAGGGGAAATGGAAATGCAGTGATGAGAGTGCGTTGCAAAATGTGCAACGGCCTGAAGCGTGAGCGGGGGCTGCAACTTCAGGCCCGGCGGGCCCCGGCGGCTGGAACTACGACCCCGACACGCCACCGCCGCGCCGCGCCGCCACGCTGTTATTATTGGAACAATCCTGCGGCCGCGTGCGATACGGGTCGCGGTTACTCCATTTCTCGGGAGAACGGGGAACACGGAATACGGACCGGGCACTGGGGCCGCCGACTACCTTGACCCTACGGGCCATTGTTCTTTCGCGTATCTCATTTTTTACCTTGCCCTTACTTACGGATACAGACTTACACAATATTCCCATAATTCCTGTAATTAATTGTGCTCGCCCGATCTCCGGGCTCCTCCGCCGCTCGCGTTGCCCCGCCGAACGCCGACTCCGTCCGATTCATTGAAAATTCGCGTTTTCCCGGCACCGCGCGGCAACCCTGCCGCTCACCGATCAATTCCCGGCCCGTTTTATTATTTTCTTAATGCAGCTACCATTATTGTTTAATCAGTGACTATTGTGCTCGTTTGTTCGGGCTGCGCGCCCAGCGTAGTGAGCTATCGGCTCGCGGACTTGCAGTTTGACTTGCAGTGTAAGCGTCTTAGGAAAATAAAATAACAAATGAAAAGACGCCCTTTTTCCCCCTTTCGTATTTTGCAATCAACGCTGAATGAAAAAACCGCCGTGCTAAGGGAGAACGCCTTATGAACATTCGAGGGTTGCAAAATTTCCCTCGATAAAATGTTCAATTTTGAGGAAAGTTATGAATATTTTCCCTTGACATTTTCAGGACTTTCCGATAAAATTGCAAGCAAAAGTATTTGAAAAATTTAAAGAAAACTATTTTCAAGTTTACCAGGAAATTTGTGTTTTATGAAAGGAAATTTGGCAACGCCTGAAGTTTCATACGGCGTTCTTCCTTTGCACGGCACAATACACTGTGGAGTGCTGCCTTGCTAGGGGAAAACGCCGTATGAGCTTTTAGACGCTGTCAGATTTCCTTCACTAAATATCAAATTTACAGGAAAGATTTTGAGTATTTTTCATTAGCATTTTTAGAAACTTTTGTTCGCAATTTCATTTCGAATGTTTGAAAATTTCGAGGAAAATTATTAGCCACTTTCCTCCAAAATACATGTTTTGTCCTGGGAAATTTGGCAACCCTCAAATGCTCATACCGTGTTTTTTCTTAGCACGGCAGATTGGACGTAAAAAAGTGCAGGGACTTGTGGTTCATCCTATGAGCAATTTTCTGCATTAATTTTGTGTGCTTACACAACAATACACACAATAACAACAAACAACATACAATACACATACAACAAATACAATATACAAAAAATATAACACATTCAATGCATACAATACAACAATACAAACATACGTATAAAATATACATAAATATGGTCTCTTTATCTGTAAATCTGTGTCGGGAAAATGACACATATCGACGGTAAAACTCTCAAACCACGTAACTTGTTTGCGGTGTTTAAAAATCTCCGCTCCAGTTTTATTTTTTTAAAAGGAAACGAATCAACATGGCTCTTTGAAGTTTCCTCAGAGTTTGCCTTGAACAGAGAAGAAAATGCACGAACTTTTTCAAGAATCGACGTTGAGTAGTTCTCCATTAAAAAAATCAAGTATGACAGGAAGTCCGCAACGCCGCAATTAAACCGAGATACTTGGTTTGGCAGTTCCACCATCGATGCATCGTTTTTAAAACGATCCAAGATTACGGGCTCCTCATTGAAAAAAGTGATCTAATTTAAGCTTTGAGAAAAGATGGCACGCACTCTATAATCTACAATGGACACTGACGGCATAGGTTGTCATATATTTTGATGGGAAACACGTACCTTGAACCTCCGTACTTCACCCTTACGAAAACTTTGAATAGAGTGTCGCGCATTTCCTTTTTATCATACTTATTAGCAGCAATTAAAAACCATTACCTATAACTTTCCGCTCGTAAATCTGATGATCGTTGGATGCGCGCGCGGATAATTTCAGTTAACTTTGTTGTTTTAATAACAAGATCTACGGCCAATGATTAGAAACAGAATCCGCGGGTATTAGCACATTCATTTACGACTTGAGCCCCAATTAAACGGCAGAATTGGCACATTCAATCGCACTGTTGTCGGTTCGAACTATTTATTATTTTCAGGGAAGTGCGAAACAGTCGTATTTTCTTTACTTTTTTCACCTATAGTCAAAGGCAAAGGAAATAACTAATATGTAATGTTGTCTGTAATGGTTTTTCTAAACAGAAAAGGGAAATATTGTCTCTGAAAGTATTTTGTATTCCTAAAGCAAAAAACTTAGTCGTTGAAAATTGATAATTGTTTTCACCTCCTTCAAAAACTAATCTATTTGAAGGAGGCGCAAGAAGATTTATATCTTCGCGTACCGTTTCTCTTTTATAATTAATCATCTTAAAGCAGTCTGGACGCAATAAGTTTTGGTTTTTGTAGATATCAAAGGAAATATATACAGCTATTCACAGAGAACATATCATTGGCTTAAGTCAAAAAATGCGAGTGTCTCTGATTGCTACGTTGCTAATCTCGGCTCATGTTTTTTTTATTTTTCTTCTTCTTTTACTGATCTCCGATCGTTCTAAAAATTTCAGGTGCATTTTCTTTACTCATGCCAATAAAAATTCAGAAAATTTCAAAAGGACATTTTAATTAGTTTCTTAACTTGATCAGTATAATCGGAGATTCTGGTACGCTGTAATAATGGAGGTATGAATTTTTCTGCTTCAGCCGTCAACATGCTGATAGAGGGTCATTTATTTTAAACATTGAATTACCACCGTCGACTTTTAGTGAGATTGCTGGGTACAAAAACTGAGCCTCGGCGTTCAATCTGGCAACATTATAGATGAGAGTTAAAGGTTCGATGAAGATATTATCCGTGACGACACACGCAGATTATATCTGGTCCGAAGGAGAGCACCAGTGCAGAATCAGAAGCAGAGAACCTAATATAGAAATCTGATTTAAGGGATCGTTACTCGCAAGGCTTTGATAGCTGGCTTCATAAGTAATACCTACAGCAGAACCAAGCGGCTTCACTCTTTACTCTTATAGCTGTGGCCACAATTATGCCGGACAGCGCAGCCGGGCAAAGTCCAGCTATCCACAGTAACGAACTAACCACATGCCTTTAGATAGAAAATCATCTCGATCATCAACCTTATTTATTTTATCATAACTCTCGGCTTTTTATTTTATGTTGCGTTTATTACATTCATCATTCATTCCTTTTCCTATCTGATTATCCTTTTTTTCATTTCCTTCCTTCGGCAATTTCGCTTCTTCTTCATTTTTTACTCACTACTCATGACCAATTATTTCAGACGTCTCGGACTGGCTTCATACATCAGCCGTTACACAACCGTCATCGCTCTGCGAAATAAGAACTTGGTAGCTTGGTTCCATTCTTCTCTCGAACTTGGTAGATGATCGTGTCTGATAAAAACCTATCCTCCGGCCAATTAAGATCTAAGAAATATTTATTATGATTTCTCAAGTTGAGTGTCCGTACATCCAACACGGATTGCCCTCTTTCGAGGCAAGTTTACTTTTCAGTTCTCTTGTTTGGTTTAAATCGAACATGGGTATTCCTCACTTATTTTTGCAGGATGGCCAAATTTATTTCACCGTCTTTTTGAAAATTGTGACAGTGATGGAACCCATCAGAAAAAAATATAATTATTATGTTATTTTTTCATGTTTCATTAAATAAAAATTGAATGTGTTAGTCGTCTTATTCACACTATCTAAGTAAAGTATTGATTATTCTTTGAATTACAGTGGTAAAGCATTGGAGACTTCAACGCAGAGACAGAAAAAACAACTATAATCCTCAGCAGTAACGCCCTCAGCTACATTGTACAAAATTGGACTGACCTGGTTCAGAATTATACAGTGATCTGAATCCAGAGATTCACTGATTCCATGAAAGATTGGACGATCGAGATACTGACTGAGCGTATATGATTTTACCTTGTTGACGATATATAACCTTAAGAGCATTGACAACATTTGAAATAGGTCGGATAACTTTTTCCGAGTAAAACGAGGTAAAGTTGACGAATAACGAATAAAAAAGATGGAAGTTTTCTAGTAGTTCGACAAACTATGTAACAGAGGGTTGTCCGTATTTTCAAATAAATTAAAGTTTTTCAATCATACTTACAAAAATAATTGAAGGAACGCTCATATTCATATTGTCTAATCCCATTTTCTACTTGTGAGGAGCTTTTCTGAAACAAACAAAATTTTAAGTCCGTCAGTGACTTGTCAATCATAACACTTAGACTGCGACTATAGATGAAAATTAAAAATTACGAAAATATTGGAGGGATTGCAGGAAGTGTCATAACTACACATTCCCCTAGCACGTTAATAAATAATAGCTCTTACCTACAATTTATTCAGCTTTAAAGCACATATAAATTGGAATAAATTTGGACAATAAATTGGATAACATCGCTGATTTAACAATTTTGTAGTTTTAAAAAGTGTCCGACATGTTTCGATGTAGATTTTACAATAAGAAAATGCTAATTTAACCACCCCCGTGGTTAAAGTAGCTTTTCACAATTGTGAAATGTGCAATAGAAACAAGTCGGACGTATTTTTTTAACAATGTATTAATTGTGAAATCAGCAATCCATTTTTTCGTGTACCATGAATCTTTACGCTTGCAACTCTCTCGAGCGTATATGTACGTAGTTGGAATAGGTATATCGACGGTGAAACTACCAAACCACGTATCTCGTTTGCGGTGTTTAAAAATCTACGCTCACATTTTATTTTTTTAAAGTAGACCAAATCAATATCATTCCTTGAAATTTTCACGGAATTTTCTCCGCACAAAGAGGAAAAATCACAGAAATTTTCAAGACTGGATGTTAAGTAGTTTTTCATTTAAAAAATAAAGTATGACAGGAAGTCTGCGACGTCGCAAACCGAGATACGTGGTTTGGTAGTTTCACCGTCGATATGTGATAAACAGAACTGAAACTCAGGCTCGAATATTGTAGGTAGGATGATGGTAGAATAGTGCGAAGTCCCAAAAATTTTTTGGATGGAATGAGAATTACCAAATGAAATAAGCGAGAGATGGACGCTTTCCTCCTTAGTCTTCCACTGATATTCACTAGATTCCATTTCGAAACTCAAATTGGACTGCATTTTGCAATTTGGAATTATAAATTCCGGCCCGGTTTAAAAACGACGTATAAGTCATTAGTTTCCCTCTACACATAAGTGTTTTTTCAGAAAAGTCAGAATTTATAGTTCCAAATTGCAAAATGCAGTCCAATTTATGGTCGATTACGGCTATGATTTGCTGTAAGTAAATACAATTGTTTACGCCACAGCAAAAAGAGTGCCAACTCTGTGCCAGTAGGTGGTAAACTGGCCTTTTTTCGGAGCTAACAATCAGAATACAATCACTGCGTTCTTATCAAAAGCTCAAAGTTCAAAGTCTCGCGGGCAATAGTCGGAATGCACGCCTGTGCGCAAAACGCGAATGCCAATGGATATTTATAGCTCATATTTTTCCGAGGATACATCGCCGGGGGCCCGTGGGGGGAGGGGGAGATTAAGGGGTCCAAGGGGAGGCGCATGTCATCTTTTAATCGGTGGCGGCACGGCTTCGGCCGCGGCTGCGGAGGCTGTAAACTTGATTGTTCTTGATGTGGGGCGCGCGAGACCCCGGGATTAGCGGCACTCCTCTCGGCGTTGTAGCTCCGAGTCTTCTCGGCCGGCCCCTGCCCCGCTCCGCCGCGGAGCGGCGATGCGGACAAGTATTCGAGCAGTGCATCTATTAGCCGTGATATCCTTGTAGCAATGAAATACGAGTCAAACATTGGCAGCTAAATGATAACGGCCGCTGCATCGCCAACGTCCGTTGAAGCCAAATTGTGTACCCATCAACGAAATTAAATAGAGCTGAAGACTGATTTAGTGGCTGTATCATCATTCGAGAGCACCTTTATAGGGAGAGTGTGGCCACTGAGACTCATAGAGACTAACAAGATGAAAAAAATAGCGGCGACTCTCCACGGAGAAAAAAACTTCGTGAATGGGACCCGCAGTTGAGGTCATATGGATCTCTCTGAAGTTTTCGGATCACGCATCCGAAAACTAGAGGTCCAGCTGCTGAAGTTCGGGCCAGACATCTGAAGTACTTAGGTACATACCGAAGGGTTCGGGTCACACATCTGAAGCACTCGGTATATACCGAAGTACTTCAGGTATCTGATCCGAACTTCGGCAGCTGGATCTCAAGTTTTGGATGCGTGATCTGAAAACTTCAGAGATCCATATGAACTCAACTTCGAGTCCCATTCATGAAGTTTTTTTCTCCGTGTAGGGGAGAGAGGGTGGACGAGGGTGAGAAAGGGTTGTTTCACCTGCTCCACTTATCACCGACCTAACCATAGTTACCATTGATTTCAGCTGCATTCCTGTCTAATTTGGCGCCAGAGAGAATTATGGTTGAGTCAGCCAGAAATTTGGTTGAATCGACTAAATCCTGGGTGTCTCATCCATTTACTTAATGGTGTACTAAATCATGCACTCTGACTGCTGCAACCATACCTCCATCTTGCGTCAAATTAAGTCAGGAATACAGATGAAATTATCCTGATTTTATTTAACTTGGCAGGATTATTAACCTGTTCACATATTCATAGTCTATTACATAAAGAAAGGACAGACACCTTGGGAAAAAGACTTACGATGGAAATGAAATTTAACATAGAAATGTGTAGGACATGAGTAAAGGCCAAAAACCAAACATTTTCCCATATTTTTTTTATTTAATGCGTAGTCAAAGAGCACGAGTTAAAATACCAATTCGAACCTGGGTTCGTTGCAATGCGTTTCGCGCGTTGATGATGACAATATGGCAATACGTACCTATCTGTGTCGTAGTCTCGGCAAGTATGTTCTAGATTTCGGTCGAAATAGTTCTATTGCTGTTATAACGGTTGGGCCGTTGGAGGTGCGGGAGTTAAGGAGGAGAGGGATCGGAGAAGAAGGGAGGGGAGAGGCGGTGGAGGAAGAGGATTGTCCTTTTTGCGGCGTTTGCTGCTGCCGCGTAGGAGTGAACGCGAATGGTATTGTGTACTTTACTTGTAACAAGTCGTTTTGTGGCCGCTCTTTTCACTGTAACGGCCGTAGCAAGGCTCCTCTGTGCTGAGCCCCGGTCAGAGCACGTGGAGAGATGGACGATGACGTTGTGCACTGTGCAGTGTGCAGTGTCGAAAGAAAAATAATTGTTAACGAGAAGCCCACAGCGAAAGTGCTTCGTGTCGAAATCTCGCTCAATCGGGAACTATCGAGTCTGGAGCCAGCGGTGCCGCACTGGATTATAAAACCACCGAACCAACTCCCGGCGGATCCAGTGCCTTCATGAAGACAGTAGGGATGTACAATACATTTTATAAATTTGTAAACCCCGAACTAGGAATCTAATCGGGTGAGGTCCAAGTTATATGCGGAGGCCAATGACTCTTTGCCTGATGCTGACTTGTATACACTGGAAAAAAGAGTCGCTTGGATCTAGGGTTCAGACTCTTAATAACATTGACAAGAAAAAATACTCTTGATTCAATCCGATTTTTCCTTGAATCGAAGAGCCGAGCCTCTTGATTTAGGCCGATTTCCTTTTGATTCAAGCGAAAAGTCCGATTGAATCAAGAGTTTTTTTTCTCGTCAATGTTTTTAAGAATCTGAACTCTAGATTCAAACGACTTTTTTTTCAGTGAGCGACGTGTCGGTCAAAAATTCAAATTGAATACGCCCAATGATGACTGATAAATGTGGGGGGTGAGTAATTTGCTAGGCAAGCTTTTGCAAATTAGATTAAGATTGCTGGACCAAATTTTACTCGACTTTTTGTGCATTAGTCATCATCAAGCGAGCTAAGCGTTGACTTCTAAAAGTAACTTCTTACCTATTGTAAAGAAAGTAGTGTTGTGGGATCTCTAAGAGACATTGTGCATTTGTTTATAGTATAGAAGATCCTTAGGAATAAAAAAAGGCAGAGATTTTAGATAGGAGGGTGCTGTTGCCTGACCTTTGACGGTTTATCACCTGCAGCACTATTCATGGTAGAGGAGTCGGCTGAGAAAGATATAACTTTTGAATGCAAAGCACTACATTGGTTTCAAAACATATTATCTGAACAAGTACTCTCTGCAGATACTTCTTACATACTTCTCTCTCAGAGATACTCTCTGCAGATGATTCCGTTGAACAGGTCAATGAGAAAAATGAATATAAAAAAATAGAAAATTTTTTGAAGCATGAAATAAAATATGTGTCAAAAGAGCGTTATGTATTTGATGTCCTCGGCGATTGTTAAGAATCTTGTGAGGACGGGATTGCTTATCGCAAAGCAGGTTAATTCAGTTCCGGGTAGGTTCGGATATCACCGAGATTTTGGCCATTGAAACCGAAAACAAAGAGAGTGGGATTTGATTCTTGATTTTCAAGATTAAAATCACCGATTAGATAACGTCAAATTGGCACCTATATAAGGTTGCCAGCTCAACATGATGCACCATTGAATGCTCAAGTGACTTGCTTTTATTCCTAGAAACGCACCAACTTCCTTAAGAAAGAGTGCCATTTGATTTATAACATGTAGATTTTTAATGGAAAGTTTCACTCTGTTATTTGAAAGTCTACTGTTTCGTAGAAAAGGAAGGTTTAGAGCAAATCATACGAATAGAAGCACCGAAATATTCATATTTTTCATGTATAGTTGTATTTGAGATAAACATTAACGGTAGTATAACGAACATGATGAAACAAAAAATGAAGATGAGATAAAAATTGGTAAAAGGCCAAAAACAATAAACATTGTTTTAGCATTACTTTCACAAATGTTTAAAGTGAGCTGTATCTCGCTACAAAGTGAAGAGAGTTGTTTCACAAAATTTTGGGACAAAACGCCCAAAAGTTTCGATAAGTTATAATGAACGAACAAAAAAATTATGAAAGAACAAACATCAATGTGGATAATAATTTTAACTTCCGCCGCTGCGCCGACCGCACTGTGTTTGGCGCAATGCGTGAAGTATTCATGCAGTCTTGTAGGCACTATGCGTTTCAAGCCGACTGCTGCTGACCGCGGTGTGTTGGACGCAATGCGTGAAGTATTCATGCAGTCTTGTAGGCGCTATGCGTTTTATGCCGACCGACGCCGCCGCGTCGAGGGCTTCTCCTTTTCATCTTAGTCCTC